CAGTTCAACAGCAGGGGGAGTGTCAGGCTGCCGAGGGGAGGACAGAGGGGGGGTTGAGAGCAGAGCGGCCCCTTGGCCTCTGGAGAGGGAAGCTGAAGGACAAAGTATAGAACAAATAACTTTGATCTGTTTTTTTTTTTCTTCCTCTTAATTATTAGAAAATAATTATATCACAGCTTCAATAATCCCTGTTTTTATGCACCCTCATTTTTTCTGCATAAACCAAGAAAAATTACAAAAACAATCAGATATTTTTCATCACATTTATATAGAGCTGCAACAATTAGTTGACTCTTTGATCAGTCGATCAAAAGAAAATTAATCTGATCATTTTAATCTTTATTTAAGCACAAATGCCAATGGTTGCAGGTTCACAAATTTGAGAATATAGAGCTTTTCTTGATAAGCATTTACAGTAAATGTATATCATCGGGTTTTTGACTGTTGGTCGGACAAAACAAGACACTTACTGATGCCACTTGTCTCTGTGATAAACACAGATAGACTTGTGAGGCTTTTTGCTTTCAGACGATGTATAGTTTGTAACGGCTGAGTGAGGATTCATTCAAATACGGTAACTGTCCTTAAATTCAAAGATTAAAAAAATGAATAGACATTGATGTTAATGTTTTATTATTTTCACCGCAGAATTGAATTGAGACAGTCTCAACAAAATGTGTTATTTTTCAGTATAAACTGGGATATTGTGTTGCAGTAGATTGCATTAGTTAAGTGTTTTTGTGATTTTCTTCCCACCTCCTGTATGTGTAGGTTACAGTAGATCTTACAGCACATTATAATGGCACTGCTCAGTGTACAACAGTCCTATGATCTGTCTACTGCCCCCACCTGCTGGTTAGAAATCATGTTTTTGTTACTCAACACATTGAACCCTGGCCAATCTCAGTGTGTTTATTTTCCTGAGCGTTAATGTGTGTGTGTGTGTGTGTGTGTGTGTGTGTGTGCCTGTATGTGTTTTACACAAAGAGATGTTCAGTCACTTCCACCCACTTAGTTTCTCTCTATCTAGTTCGGTTGCTAGTTCGTATAGATCTTTCTCCCACACCTATCTCGTGCACCCATTCGACCTGTAAGAGCAGAACCGCAGGGGACAGCTGCATCGGGGCCGCCGGCCTAATGAACTTCACATACTGACACAAATAATCAGCTGCCCTGTTTTAAAACCCTGGTACAGTACAGTAATAACAGTTTGATGCCCAGTGTTGTTTGTATCACACCGTTGTTCTCACAAGCCACAGGAGGGGAGAGTCTGTGACCTTAAGAGCTGCAGGTCCTGCACTGTCTAATTCCATGTTTATGGTTTTGCCTTTTATAACACACACAGACGGAGCTGCCCTGGCCACAAGCACACGGAAATATCATCATGCGCCCTCTCCACTGCTAATTTGTGCCTTGGTGCCATCCCTCTGGTGAGGATTCAGCTTTGTGCCGGGCGACCTGAGGAGCAACAGCAATTTCAGGGTTTGCTTCTCTTCCCCTTTCTCTTTCTTTTGCTCCACATACTTTACTGTAGTGCCGTCAAACCAAACATTAAAAATGAATTTAAAAAGCAAAAGTTCCCTTTAACAAAAAGAAAACTGGCAATATGACTTTTATTTGTATAGTCCTACATATTCATAAACTGTTGCGACTGCATACAAAGATATTTGACTGAGATCATTATACTTTATGACCTTACTCGCTCACACACATTTCTAAACGAACGCATAGAAAAGATTTGAATCCTGTCCCAAATCTGCAGTTCAATAGATTCATTAAGTTAAAACAGATATCAGATTCATAAGACAGAGTTGGAGAATTATTTTTAGTGTGTTCTTTGCTCAGCTCACAAACAGTGAGGGCAGATCTCATGGTGGCACATCAAAAGGAAAAAGAAAAAAGCTATAGGTGAGCTTGTATCAGAGGAAATGACAGAAATGGAACATCTGCACAGAGAAAAACACAGCGGTATGGGAGGGAAATGGGGGGATGAATGGCTTGCAGTGCGGCGGGTGATGTGGAGAGGACAACAAAGTAATTATGGGATGACTAAGGATAGATATAGAACTGGGCGAGGGAGTGAGGAGGAAAGGGAGACTAAGAAGAAGAAGAAGAAGAAGAAGGGGGGTGTAGCAACCTGCTGGAGTCTCCATCACGCTATGATAGTTAATCAGCCTCTGACTGTGGCGGCGAACATATTCTGCAGCCATCTGGAGCAGGAGGGAACTGTCTACCTTTCTACTTTCAGACGTATCTGCCTCTTTTTAGTTCATCTGTCTGGATTGTGTGCATTTTTATGTGTGTCGTGTCTCTATGCAGGTCTATCTTTCAGTCAATCTGCCTGAGCTCCGTCTTCCAGCTGTCTACCATATTGACTACAGATCCTGATAAATCCCTGCGTTATTGTAATATATGCACAATATGTACACATATAGAGAAGCACACACAAACACTCGAAACCAAAACAGTGGAGCAGTCTATTGCTCCAACTGCACTTCTATCAATATCCACAAGGGGTCATGATTACCTTGAAATGATTCTTCAGCAACTGTGATCTGCAGTCATTTGTAATTTCTTTAATTTGTTGAGAGTCCTTGATAAGACTTGAACATGTGCTATTATGTGACAGGATTTTAGAATTGTGAATGATGCAATCCTAAAATGATTTTCACATTGACTTAATTTAAATCAGCTGCACGTGTAAAGCGCAAACATTTACATTAAATCTGTATTCACACCTCACATCTGTCATCTACATACTGTATTGTATTAGCCAGCTTGCTCCACAAACTATTAACAACAAATAGCCCTCTGACAAAATGGATCTACACTTTAGAGTGAGAAGAGAGGAAACTTTTCACACACATTGCGGTACTGGATTCAAGCCTATTACATTCTATTGGATACTCTTGAAATGTATTTTTAATTAAAGTTAATGTTTGAGTCACAAATACAGCGATTAACAAATACAGTTCATCGCTAACCTCACAATTTATAGAAATACATGAAAAAGAAGGTCATGTATTTTTGTGATCTCATTAGTTATTTCCACCTCGTGGTGGAAGAAGTACTCAGATATTGTACGTAAAAGTAGCAAATACAAAGAGTAGAAATACTCTGTTACAAGTAAAAGTCCTGCATTCAAATTCTCACTTCAGTAAAAGTATAAAAGTATTGGCCTCAAAATATACTTTAAGTATCCAAAGTATACTCATTATGTAGATTTGCGCATTCAGTGTAATGTATATTATATTATTGTATTATAATTATTGATACATTAATGTATAGGCCACATAACTTGAATTTTGAAGCAGGTAAAGGTGGGGATAATTTGACCTACTTATTTACTTATTCATAATACTTGTTTTGATCTTGATGTCTCTTGTTTGCACTATCCACTATGCTGCTGTAATCCTGTAAATGTCCCTGCTGCGGGACTAATAAAGGATTATCTTATTTTATCTTAATACACTTCATCTGCTGGGTTGCTTGTGAATTTCCCACAGAGGATCAATGACGTTGTTTCTTAATCTTATACATCATGATTTATTTGTTGATTTTATTTTGTTTTAATAATCTGCAATGTAACTAGTAACTTAAATGACCAAATAAAGGTAGTGGAGTAAAAATTTGAATATTTCCCTCAGAAATGTAGTGGAGTACAAGTATAAAGTAGCAGGAAATGGAAAATAAAGTAATGTACCTCAGAATTATACTTAAGTACAAGACTAGAGTAAATGTACTTAGTTGCTTTCCACCACTGGGACTACCATAATGGATTCAGATCACAAAGATTCATGTGAGGTTTGTAGTTTTTTCTAAATTAAAAAGAAAAAGTGGATAAAGTGTGCTGCGCTCATATTTCATTTTATTCTATTTTGGTTGATCATCTGGAACTGTATTAACACAGTCTGCAGCAGGTAGGGAGGGGGTAGTGTGACAAGTCCAACCAGTTATTAATCCGGTATCTTCTCAAGCGACGCTTGCATTAAAACTGAACTCCTTTTCCCACAATGCCTCGCTCCTGCGTGCACGTGTCACAGTTGCCAGCGAACCGGACCGAACGTCACATTCCTGCATTCCCTTTTTCCTGAGGACGTCGGAGTTATAGCTACCGCTAGATAGCTAATCCTCTCCCCCACTTTTTCTCTTTGATGAAAACACACCCATGACACGGCGGATTTGATCTCAGGAGCTGATCCCGGGTTCGCCAGGAGTCAGAAGCTCTCTTCGGAGGTGAGGATTTACCTCATTTTAAGCCGGGGTTGAAGGTGCCTTGTCGGGTTGGAGTGCAAACAACCGTGGTGGTCAGATAAACAGTTTTAAAAGATGCGCTGCATTTGCTGCGAGTGAGCAGCCTGGTTATGGTCTGGCCTCAGCTGGCAGACCTGTTGATACAGCACAGTTGCCAGATGGTTAAAATATCGCAACGTGTGGCCTTGTTGTTTACTGTTGTAGCTACTTAATAACTAAGCTAACGTTAGCCCCCGGGGCTGGTTAGCCGCAAAGCTTGCGTCACCATTGTTGCCGGTGGTACGCGGGCAGACACGCGCACAGGGTGTGGAGGCGCCTCCAGATGTGTGTCTTTGTGTTACTCTGACAGGGACAATCCGGTGCAGTGAGTTGGATAACGTTGCCTGTGAAAAACAAAAACGTCCTGTGGAAGATGCAGCACTAGGCTAAAGGATGCACACTGTGCTAGTATCCCACAGACAGCATGGGCGTGGTTAGGAGTGGAAAAAATAGAAGAAACAAATAAAAACAGTAGCTACGGTAATGATGGGTTCGGTATGATCAGTTTGGTTTCAGGAACGGTATACGTGCAGGACAGGAATGACCGGATCCTTTCAATAGATATCAGTTTGCCATGGAAAGCTGCTGAGCATGCTGCAGCTCAGCAGCCTGTCCAACAACAAAGAGAGGACCACAGCTGCTGCTAGTCTGGGGCAGGATAGACCGAATCACTGCTACAATATATATATATATATACTGTAGGATGTGACCTATCTTATGAAAGTTGAAGCAAATACAATCAGTTGTATTTGCATAACTTGAATGAATGCTAGGGTCATCTTGTCATTATAGGAGTTGTCTGCTGGAGTCCCGCCTGCTGTTTTTTTTAAGTTACAGTCTCCTTCAGTTTGCTCAGAACATTCCGGAGATTCCTGCTGTTCAGATGCTGATTGGATCAGAGTGACTTTTTAAAGGAATGTTTGCGTGCTACCACGAGGCACACAACAGAGACCCTCCTGATCTGTCACATTTTTATGCAAAAAAACAAACGAGACCAAATTTGAATGAATTATCTTAAAAAGACAGCTTTTTCAGTGGAGAATGGCTTCGTGAATTAACCCAATATTCCCGCTGCTGTAGAGGCATACGCTAATGAAGTATGCCTTTTTGTAAATCTGGTTCTGCCAGTGTCTGCATTCATTGTGAAGAGATGTTTAACTTAGCTTAGTGTCTGCCATTAAGTCTACCCAGACTGATCAAGTCATGTAATAACTTTTATAAACATTGTACAGGCAAACCATGTGTAGATAATTAAACATATTTTGTAATGAATTGAATAGTGGTAGATAGAATGTAATCGACTTGTCATCGGCTTAGACATAAGCTACTTGGCCGAAGTTATCCTCAATATGAAGAATATTTGGGGAAAAAGTGCCAGTGCTTGAATGTGTGCCTACGCTTGCAGGACATTTTAGGATATGTACCTAGAAGTGTATGTAAGAAACCACTAAACATGTAGCCATCTGGTGACACCGCTAAATAGCCATCAACTACTTGATCTAGAAACCTAGATGATATGTAACTTTGTAATGACTTGTATGCTCTCACTGCTGCACAATATATAGGACTTAATCATGTTGTTTTCTTAAAGACTGGCATGTGAAATTCAAGTATCATTTTTCGCAAAGGTTCCTCTCCCATTAATCTGATCTAATCTGTGATTTTAGGCTCTGAAATAAGACTCTGATGAATAGAAACGTATGAGTGTTGCTGATGTTTAAACTTGGCCTGAGATACAGCTTCATTTCGACCATCTAAGCAGAGTCAGTGCCGTGTCATCGCCCCAGTGATGTGCCGTCCCAGCACATATGACCGCTGCATTGACGTGGTGAGTGATCGAGGAGGTGAACTCTGCCCTCGGAGAGGCCGAACGGTGTCTGGAAACGTTAAAGCTACCGCTAAGACGCGGGGGTAGTGTTGTGATTCACATCCAGGTGTGTGCGTGTGCAGTGTTTTGAAGAATGTGGAGGAGGAGCGCGCAAAGCTGCGTGCTGTGGAGAGGGTGTGGAATGCCTGCAGTAAACTGGAACACCCTGACTCAGCCTGCGTAGCACAAATCTAGCCCCAGTGGGAACTGCTGCTCATTACGCTGCCTGAAATGTATGGATGAGTGAGTGGGGGGAAAACAGACAGGGAGGAGGACGACACCATGCAGGTAATGGTTGAGGAATACATACAGAGATAGCAGAAGGCCTTTAGCTTAGCGCAGGAATGCAGAGTCGCTCTCTCGCAATTGCTCCAGACCTATTGTCACAGTCTTTCTATGGCCGACCTTTTTGTTCTCGGAGTTACTTGTTTTGTCATCATCACACGTGTTCAACCCCCAACCAATAATGGCTGCTGCAGCTCTGTTGACGACGAACCTTTTGTTACCCCTCTTTTGTGCTTTTGTTACCTGCACATACATGTTGTGAAGCCCGTGAGCTGAATTGCACACCCTCACTTGTTTGCCATGGTTGTGTATGTGGATCCGGACAGAATAGCATTGTTGGGCTCAAGTCATTGTTGGACTTGGGTGTCCACAGTACTGCACATGTCCATTAGGTCACTAAAGGGGCAGAGGGGGACAATGTGGCTATTGTTTTAAGTGACTTGCCCCCCCCCCCCCCCCCTTCTGGTCTGTTCCTCTAGATTCAGGTCATTCAGCTCAAACTGTATGAGTAAACACATTTACTCACAGCAGCTTGCTACAGTGAATGGGAGGCCAGAACTACTACAGACTATTTTTGAAGTTGGGTTGCAATTTGTCTCTAAACATATTCCTTCAATTGTAGTGTTGTGATCAACCTTGCACCTGTTGCTGCATGTCTTATGGGGACATCTTGCTGAAAATTACAAATATTTTGTACATTCTCCAGAAGAAGAGAGGCCACCCAAATCTTATACCGGCACTACTCTCTCCAATGATAGTTTACAAAATACTAAAGGACACCATACAGAATGAGATTCAAGATTCAAATGTTTTATTTGTCACATGATGCTCATATAATATGTCCAGTGAAATGAGGGGTAGGGTACTCTTAAGGCAGTGCAAGAATGGCTAAGTGGTGCATCTGCAGTCGGACAATTAAAGACAACTTTGGAAAGATTAATTTTCTTTTCTCACAGCTGACTTTCATGCATCAATATGCCTACATAGTATACATTATACTAAGAGCTCATATTGCATTTAACCTCTCTAAATAGACTACTCTAAATTATATTTAAACCCAAGTTTGATAAGCCAGCCAGTCGGTAGTAGACCAGATCAGGAGAATTAGCAGCTCTCGCGCTGCATGTGGTGAGAACGTTGACTTGGACTCCCACTGGGGAGACTTTGTCTCATGATCTGCTCTGTTTGGGTTGTGGGGATTATGGTTCTTAGCGTTTGCTTGTTGTGTAGCCATATCAAAGGTTGCAAATCACTGGTGGCTCAGAGCTTGTTTTACTTTTATTATGGTACATGTATTGTTTTGCTGTGCCGCCCTTGGGTGTCTAGTCTACTGTAGTGCTTTTGGAGCCCAGGGCATAATGGTTTAACATCGCCTTGTTGTTGTTGTTTGGCTTTATGTTGAAGTTTCATGCAGAGCTGACTTCTTTATACAAGTATGAAACTTGAGAATATTATGCCAAAGTCGTACTTCAATCAGACGAATGTTCATGACAAATAGCCCCCATGTGTCCCCATTAGAGTTGAGCTTGTTTCAGTGAAGCAACACTAAAAGAGAAAGAACGAAGCCTATTCCTCACAAACGAAAAAGTAAATAATGAGTTAGTCCAAGAAAAAACACTGGACATTGCTATACATCGCTCCAACAGTTGATGATGTGTAACATTCCTCCTTCAGCGGGCCTGGGAATGTGTGAACTCACCACCTGAACTACCTACCGTGTGTCCCGCACTGAGTCTAGTTTCTCTGAAACAAAGATAAAGATAATTGCATCATTTGAAAGCTTTTGTCGCCCCAGTTTGTATGCATGCATCGGACTGTGTGTCAAATGTGTGGATCAGCTGAGCAGGGAGGGATTTTGCACGATATGTCATGATGACAGTTGTTTCTTTTTGCAAGTAATCAATCTATTCTCTGTCCTGAAGTACGGATTTGTCTCCGCCTGTCAAACAAAGAAACGGTGTGCTGTCCAGTGTAATGCTGTCTGTCCGGCCAGTTCAGTGTCAACCCGGACGGTGCTTCCTTTTACTGTCGTACATGCTGCTTCACATTTTACAGTCTTGATCTTTCTCTGCTGATAACCTTCTCTGTATAGTCATGTTGAATCATACTGTGTTCCATTTCCGAGTATGGAGAAGATCAAATTAGATATTTTCGAAAGAGTAGAAGTAAACTTATGTTGCATGCTGATGTACCATTTCTTCAGCTACAAGCACAACGGTGAAGCTAAAAGTGTGGCAGGCTGTGTTTTGTTGGAACAGCTGGTAGAATTGAGGGAGGGAGAGCGAAAGGGTGGAGACAGGAAAGAGGGGAGGAGTCGGGGTTTGTGGGATGGATGGGAAGGATGTAGTTCGAAGGGGAAGGAGAGTAGGCCAGACAGGCAAAGATAGAAAGAGAGGAGGCGGGGTCTCACACCATCATGGCCCATGTTGCTACAGACTGGCCAATGCTACAAGCCACTGTCGGGTTAACCCACGAGAAAGGGTTCTCTGTGTGATGCCGACTGCAACTAACTGCTTCATCAGCTAAACCTTCGTCTCTCTGACCGACTCGCTGTCTGCACTTTTGTTTAAGGCTTAAGTTCTCCCTCATTCTGGAGCTGCAACAATTCAATAAATAGTCGATCCACGGAAAATCTACCGGGAACTATTTGATAATAGAGTCCAGCTCCTCAGTTGAGAATATTTGATGGTGTTCCTTGTCTTCTATTATATTACACAACATATTTTGGGCTATTTGACTGATGGTTGAGCAAAACAGGGAATTGGGATAATGGAAATTCACCGCGATCAACTTGTTGTGAATGTTTCCTATATCGTCTCATCCCTAGCTGTTCCTTGCTTTAGTCCCAATGACTCCTCTCCTCTTGACTCAGGTCTATGACAAAGAACCAGTGTTTACTTTGGATATTGGTGATGATGTTGTTATTCGGGCTGACTATAATGCATACAGGCCTTGTGATTTGTTGGTGCTCCTGCACAGTAAGCACATGAACTAATATAAAAGTGTCACACAGAAGCTAAAATGAAAAAAAATCCTAAGTGCCCAGACAAAAACGACTGAGAACTAGAGGAGTGTTGCGTTAATGGACGGGTCAATACAGCTGTTGGCAGCAGCTTCCCCTCAGGCAGTAATTCTATACTACATGTCAAGGACAAGAGCAGGACACCTGACTGAGCTGCAACCGCCACCAATATGCATCAAACCCATCGTTGCAACATCCAGTCTGCTATTATTGAATGCTTCTCCATTCATTTAAACTGTGTAGTAATTACCCAATATAACTCAGCCACTAACTGCAGCCTCAGATATTACCGTACCGTTGAAATGAATGGGCAATTCAGTCTGATGATCGGGCTCGACGAACTAGAATGTGGTGGGAGCGGCCTGTTTCTGAGCGGAGCCGGGACAGGTGTTTTGCGACATAAATGGTCTGGTTTTTAGGACGGCACATGATCTCGCAGGAAGAGGCCACAAAAACTGGGCCAGTAGTTCAATTTGAAGTTTTCATATGCTCTCAAATCACCATGAACATTGAAACACAATTTAGATGTGTGTATCTCGCAGTTTATACTCTGAATAAGTAGTGAAGAAAAAGGAAACTAAACTTTCACACGAAGATGAAATTAGTGCACATATAAGTGTGTATATGTGAGCCCATACATGTACACTATGTGCATATACAGTACAGTAACCCGTGAGGTTTTATACGTCACATGTGCTGGTTGTTTAACAAATATTGTCTTCAAGGCAGCTGGTCCGAATCTGAGCGCTGATGCTTCTGTAGCCCGCTGCCCGCAATCAAAGGCCAATCAAAGCTATAGCAATATGTATGGATGGATTATGCTATTGACATGGATGGATTATGCTACAGTAAATCAGATTAAGACATGTTGACCCTGGTACATAGTATGCAGAAATTACAGCAATAGTCCTAAATGTACAAGAAAGCACTTCCCTTACCGCTGTCATTGAGCCAGAGACTCGTTCAGGTTCCGGTCTCCTGCTCCACAGGAGTGCTATCCTTTTAGTTGCCCCTGAGGTCTGATCCTCCAATGGAGCACTTTTCCTCTTGGTAATACTAACTTAGTAGTTGTAAACATGATTCATAGCATTTATGGTACACAAAAAACAATATCAAGTTGTGTTTTTGTTCTGTTGAAATAGTTGGTGTGATCTATTTACTTTGTTGTGTTGTTGATGAGATACTACGTAGTTCAGGAGTTGCTGAGATCAGACGTGATGAAGCAGAAGAGTAAACTAAAGGGAGTCTTTAGGATATAGCACTTCTCGCCACCCTGGTATTAGAAAGCCCTGTAGCACCAAACCAAAGCAAAGAGTTTAAACTTTGTGGCGCTGACTTGTTGCACAGGGCTCCCCAGCGAGTCCCCAGGGCTCAGCAGATACCATTCTGCGTGCTCCAGGGCATTAAATCCTCTTTGCATGGCTGGTGATCAAGCCATGATGTAAAGGAGCTTAGTAGCAACAGACAGCCAGGCAGGAAGCTGCTTCCCTGTTGGCCACAGATCAGGTGATCACACACAAAACACAGACGGGAGAGAGAGACGGGCAGGGACAAGGTGGAAAAACAAAGAGGGTGAAATGGACATGGGGAGGTGTGTGAATGGTGACACCAGAGGGAGCTTGGACAGAGAAATTAGCAGAGACTAATCTGAGGTTTTTCAATAGATGGATGTGGTGTGAAAACACAACCTGAGTCTGCTGCAGGACACTCTTAGCAATGCATGCATATGGATGTTTGTTGTCAGCAGTGAGGTCATGTTTGTTCTTTGAGTGTTGGGAAGTTGAGGGGAACCAAGGTGAGAGAAACGCCGCATTGTTATTGTTGGTACTTAAAGCTGCAACTAACGATTGTTCTCATTTTGGTTATGAAATGACAGAAAATTGTCATAGTTTGTTTATTCAGCAAACAGTCCTAAAGCCATAGACTTTTACTAACCATAGAGTTCACTGTAATATGAGAAACAGAAGTATAACATCACATTTCAACGGAGAATGTTTGGTATTTTTGCTCTAAAAATGATTAAAACCATTAATAGATTATCAAAATGGTTGTTGATAATTTTCTGTTGGTGTTCTCATTGTAAACACAAGCCAGCCTTGAGTGCTCTAACATCCCCCTGTATCCTTCTCTTCCTCCCTTCACAGGTCACTTTCCTCCTTCCCTCCCCCCTCCTCCCCTCCCACCTGTCTCAGCTCTGGTTTGTCATGGAGAACTCTTCGGTGGCGTCTGCGTCGTCCGAGGCCGGGAGCACGCGCTCACAGGAGATAGAAGAGCTGGAGCGCTTCATTGACAGCTATGTGCTGGAGTACCAGGTGCAGGGGCTTCTGGGAGACAAGGCCGATGGCGACTTGGACATGGACAACGGTGGCAAGGTGCCGCAGGTCAGAGCGTTATTACATTAATGGATGACATATGCTCCCATAAGTCCTGTATCTGTAGGCAGCAGTGATTCTTTTTAGTGGTTTGTATCTTCCAGAACAGATAGGCGGGGTACAACCTGCATCAAAACAGCTGCCCTATCGTTGTAATGTGTATTTAAACGTAGACAGGTGGAGGAAAAACACTTACAGTTCTGACTGTTTATGGTGTTTGTTTACATGTAAACAAACCCCCCTTTTCACAAATGATAGCACCCTCTCCACCCATTTCTTCCCAACAGTGGACAGATGACTGCAACAACAAGAAAGATGGCAGCTGGACGTCTTCACGGGGGAGAGGCTCAACCAAGCCAGTAAGTGTGTGTTTCCTCCTCAAAAAACTAATCTTGAATCAAATACGGTCTATAAGGTCTTCATCATAGATCGGTGTGTTTGGACAATACCGGAGGAATAACAAACGTGACTATTGGGGATTTAATTAGTTTGACAGATATTTGATGCAGCACATTTCAGAAAATGTCTTGTTCATCTTCTGAAGACTGATTTATTCTTCTTACACAAGAAACCCATGTTGCTAGTCCAGGGATGTTGCTAGCTACAAGTCCTGCATTTTTTTATTATAACCATATAACATTAAACATGAGTTAACACCACTGCTAGTCTGAAGAAGCTATGAGAGTGGTCCTAATTTTACCCATTAAACGGCTGCAAAATATTCATAAACACTACTTCAGAGTATTTTCGGTGAGTAAACGGTGTTTACGTGTGTTGAGCTTCCACTATAGCCCTGATTCTACTTCCATGTTGTTGTTGTTGTTGTCCTCTTCTGTGCTCATCTAGACCCTCTGGTCGCTGAAGTATCGCTTTGATTAAACGCGTAGGTTTGCTCTGCTCTCTCACTTCTGTATGTCGGTGTAGCCTTTCCCTCTCTGTCAACTGCTCGAGTGTGTGATTAGAGGAGACTGTAACACCAGCCGAAAGCGATCGCCACCGCTCGTCGGCTCGCTTGTTGTTGAAGACAAAGTATGCTCTTAATGACTAACATGGGATGCTGTGTGAGGCTAGAGCCGGTAATGAAATAACCCTAAATGAATTATCGGTGTGTGTGTGTGTGCTGTATAGTGATTTAGAGTATTATTGCTCCCCAGAGATTCATTGGTATGATTCACTAGGAAGTGAAGCGGCATGGGTGAGAGGTTCAAAGAGCAGTGAGCCAAAAAACAGAGACAAACATGTGGCGACAGCTCAGCAATCACAGTGCTGCACTATTCTCTGTGCAAAAGAACACAACACAGGTTGTTGTTACTCTCCTAATATGCTTTTCAAGAAAAAGTTTAAAAGCTGTAGAAATGGCACTATGACAGAATTTAAAACAGGTTTTTGAATGAAACGGAGAACACAGTCTTTTTCTTTTTATTCCCTCTCAACTCCACAGGACGAATGGGAGCACAGCAGCAACGGCAGCACCGGGTCCAGGCCCAGTTCAGGGTCCAGACCCGGGTCCGGCTCACGCTCCGGCAGCAGAGGCAGAAACAACCAGTTCACAGGCCCTGCCATGGTACAGATGCACCTGTGTTTGTCTTCTACTTCCACCACATTCCCTCAGTGTCCCTAAAAAGATCACAAATCACATCTGCAACGTATTTTACTGTTTAGGGGGCACATGAAGATCAGTTTACTAGTCTCAAGGAGAACTGCTCAAGCCTGTGGAAACAGTTTAACCTCAAATTTTAGTTACAAACTGGATGTGTGGCTTTTGTAATAAGAGAGCATTTACCAGGCAAAGAGGGTCTAATGGTTAATGCTATTGAGGCACATTTGGGTGTAGGATCCAACGGTTTTTGGAGCATGACCCACACTACGACTAAAACTAACTCTCTTAAAGAGCAGTATTAAAAGACAAAAAATACTATGTGCATTGAATTTAGAGCCTCTTTAATTCGTACTTATTTTTATTGCACCCGTTTATATTTGTAAGTGATAGTTTGGTAAGGGGTGTTAAGTAGTCATACTGAACATATTTTCCTTGTGTGTCCTGTAGAACGGGAACAGAGACGGCTCCCTGGACATCCTGGGGACAGACATATGGGCTGCCAACACAATGGACTCACGCGGGTAGGTGTATGTTGTACAGCCCACTGGGTCTGGGCTCCAGCCACAGTTTCTTGAGGGTCACATGACTGATTCAGACACACGGTCTTCTCGCGGATTCTTTTGACTTTCTTAACCTGACTTTGCTCGGCTTATCCTCAACTCTGTTTATTCATTTGAGGTCTTGGAAGTTTTCTCTCCTGGTTATCCCAAGACGGTATGTCCCAGCTTCTGTTCTTCAAGGCCCCAGATCACTGCTGACATAAATCGTGTGAATAAAATAATATATATATTTCAATATCATATTTCTTACTTCTTTTGACTTATTCAAGTGAGGTCTGTGTGAAAATCCTTCTCAGCTTTCTCTAATGATTTGTCAATCAAGAGCCAGACCTGTAACTTGCAGGAGAAAGAGAAAACGAACGAGACGGTAATCAAATTCACTGGAGGGGAGAACTGGTTGCCATGGTAACAGCTACCTAAGATCCGTCCACGTTGGCACGTCTGAGCACACGGGTGACGAGAGGGCAGTGGATGATGTAAGCAGCTCTCTCCCTCCACGCAGGGCCGAGATGAGGTCGTTGCATTGTACGAATATTGAATTAAAAACTGACATTGATGACTTTAGTTATGAGTCATTTCTGCCAAAATCTAGTTAAAAGTTCTCACCGTGTGAAAGCAACGGCCGTGCAAGTGAAAGTGGATGTAATTATTTTTAGCAACAACGAATTCATATTATAACACTGCCTATTGTCAAAATACCATAATATACAGTAGCACAGATGCATATTTCTTCAGTTCTTTGTCAAAACTATTGTGCACTGTTTGTCTTCATGTTCTTATCTTGTCAGCCAGCCTCACCTAGTGGTGACACAAGTCTACTGTAGCACCATGTAGTCGGTGATTCACAGAGCCTTTTATTAAGTGTAGCTGCCTCACCAGCTCCCAGTCTCTGGTACCGAGGTTTGTACGAGTTACCATGCATCAACACTGACCTTTCTGCCAAAACAGTTTTGATTAATGCACATTCAATATTCCTGTGTGTGTTTTTGTGAGTGCTCCTCTTACGAACAACAATCCAAACCAGTCGCGCACCGATGAGGAGTTACTAATATTTTAAACTAAATGTGATCCCACAGTTGTGGAGCGGTTTGCTTATGTAGCTGAGCCACTGTCAATCAAATCTGATCACAACCGAGAATAATTTTCTTTTCTTTCCTGTGTTCAAAATGTAGAAGATGTCTTGTACTCTTTCCTTAAGCGTATGCGTGGATACTGTCTGTTTCTAACCTTGCATTTCTTTGTCTCTTGGTCGTAGAGGTGCTGGTTGGGACATCCAGCCAGAGAAGCTGGACTTCAGCCATTTCCACAGAAAACACCTGAGAGGACTACCAAAGCACCTGCCACACATTGACAGAGAAGGGTAAGCGCTCTGTTCCGCTGGTGCTGCTCTACTCATCCCATATTATCTCAGTCATGCCGTTAGGATTGTCTTCTGTCTCTAATGAAGCCCGTTTGGATCCACCTGTCATCCCTGATGGTTACTTCCTCTCTTTCAGGATGAACAAAAACAAGTTTGAGGAAGATGACGGTATAGACATGAACGACATAGAGAAGTTTCTACCCCATCTGCATACTGTGAGTCACTGGTTTTCTCTCTTTTTTTTTTTTTTTTAAGAAAATGCCTCTAGATAGTTTTCTCACTCTGGTTATTTGTAAAAGCAACCCTATGTAGTTTTGTAAAGCAGTTCTTCTGCACTGATGACGTTAACAGCAGACTTCTCTCACCAAGACAATAAGCTGACCATCAATTAGTTGGTAGAGAGCGACCCCTGTTGGCGTGAAGGAAGAAATAATAAGTGTATTGACCAGAGCAATGGTGTAGTAAGGTCCTAAATTACCAGAATATGAAACATTTTGGCAAAAAGGAGGAAAATTCATCTAGTGTCAGTTTTTGTCTGTTGAATAACAATCAATTCAGGTAAAATCAGTCTTTATAGATTTCTATTTATGTTATGAATGAGACTGGTTGATCATAAATGAACATTTGGGGACATCTGCTGGTCAGATGCTGAAGTGAGCTTTAATGAAGTGCTTCAGGGTGTTATACTGACCCCTGTTGGTTAAATGTATGTACAACATTTACACCTCAAGCCAATAATGTCTGCAGAAAAGTTAAGTAGGCTGTTTGTTTCTGAGGCTTTCTCTGTCCGTTTGATACTTCTTCAACAGCATTTGAGCTCAATTTAAAGAATAGATGCATGTTTCTATCTTAAACAATACATAATTGCTCTTATATACTCTGAACAAGAAGAAGAAATCCCCCCGCCCTGTTTGTTTCCTTGCTGAACTTCAAGGTGATGTGTGTTTCAGCCCGGGTGACAGAATTCACTCGAGGTCACCGATGTCGACCTCTTCTCTTCCTTCCTTGCTCTCTGAGCCAAAATGTCTTCCATCGTCCATAATGTTTGAGCCGGTGCCTTCCTCTTTCCTTCCCCTCTTGGCTGCTGTAGCCAAACTACCTCTCATATATATATATTTATTTATTTTACAGCCAAGACGGGCCTAGTTACGCTACCAAGATGGCTTCCTCATTGAATGGCTCCCGAGCCAAGATTGCCGTTTCCCGTTTATTCAGTTACAGCCAAAAGAGTGGTCGGCTGCGTTCACCCGATGAGCTTGGGATCGGATATGTGTGGGCACTGAGCTGGGGAGTGATTGGCACATTTTCTCTCCCTCACATTCCTTAGCTGTTTCTGACTTCATCTGTACCTTCACGGTCTCTGTCTGTGCTGGGTGTCATGCCCTGGCATCTTTAAAGTCTCCCCTAAACCTCTGCCAGGCGGAGTCATGCAGCGGTGATGCCAGGCCACCGTTTGTTCTCGCTCTAATGAGGCCATCCACCGACGATCCCCTTATTGGTCTGGGATAGCCCCCAAGACGACTGTGAGGGCACTCGTGTTTGTGTTTTCCACGTTCAGGGCCAGTAGTAGAAACCGCACTATAACATAAATAACTGCAACCACATTCAAACTCCCGTTGAACTGCATCGGAATGGTTTGCAATCAAGAGTACGGAGGAGTCATTAAATGTCTAAGTTGTTTACCAGTATCAATATTGACATTGAGCAAACATTTTTATTATACATGCACAGTGCCACAGTGTTATGGGAAAGTATTGGACTGGTGTATGGTGCATGACTCAGATCAGGGCAGAAATCCCTCACAAATCACACCAATATTGGACAAGCCGTGTGTGTGTGTGTGTGTGTGTGTGTGTGTGTGTGTGTGTGTGTGTGAGAGAGAGAGAGAGAGAGAGAGAGTTTGTTTTGTGTTGTAAAATGTTTGTACGATGATATGCTGCTGAGTGTGCTGGCTGTCTATGTGCAGTCTGGCTGTGAGGATTCCTGCTGCCACTTTCGCTACACGTCCGTCCTCCTTACTGTAACCAACACGGGGGATTTCCATTTGTGCTATTACAACACATGACTGGCTGTCATGTCTCACTCTTTAGCTTGTGTACCTTTACTCAAGTACTCTACTTAAGTACGAATTTTAGATACTTGTACTTTATTTTAATTTACATTTCAGAGAGATATTGTACTTTTCACTCCACTACATTTATCTGACAGTTATAAAATCATTACTTACTTTACGGATTAAGACTTTACATAACAAAGCAAATAATAAACTCATAATAGAATACAACACATTGTCACCTCATTGCTGCAGAAAAAGTACTTTTAACTGTGATATGTTCAGTACATTTTCTGTCAATACTTCAGCACTTTTAGTTAATACTTAGTAATGGAGTTACACCTCCAGTTAGTGTACGGCAGGACAACGTCACCCAAAGTCTCCGTCTACATTCGACACTTCCTGCCAACATTCACTTCCCCTTTCCATGAGTCGGAATATACTTACAAATAGCCCTGGGATCAGGGAAACATCTTGTTTGTTTGTTTTGTGTGTGTGTGTGTGTGTGTGTGTTTGTGTGTGTGTGTGTGACTCTATGAGAAAGGCCTTCCTCCTTTTGCCCTCATATTGTGCTGCACCTCTACCGGCCTCTCTGGAATGTCAACCTGCACATACAGTAAGTCTGCCTTCACATCCAGCCTCGGGTTGTAACGACGGAAGCATTCAGGGGTCAGACATCGAGTATGTAGCTGTAGATGTACGTGAGGTATCACATGGATTCTGAATAACAGCACAAGCAATGTTACAACAAAGATACAGTAATAGGATCAAATATGAAATAGCGGTAAAACAAACAAGAATAAAAAAACAAATCATTAAAACGTGTTGCTTGGCCATTCCAGGTGGCCTGGAAACTCCCGGTGACATTACAAGCTGTTGATTTGACGATATAAACAAGGGTTCAAAAGCAGAAAATCCTCCGCTTGGAGAAGCTGGAACCAAAGAATGTTTTGTGTTTTTTGCTTAAATAATGACTCATAAATTAGATTTAATAAATCCCCCCCTTCTCAGAAAGTACAGAACTGACGCGTAGCGCTATTTCCCCCTGGAGACGGGAGATCGTCATATCCCCTTCTCCTTTCCGTCCTTCATGACACAAACTGTACGGCAGCGTGGACACTCGATCTCGCTCACACGGTGTTTGGCGTCATCGACATGATCGTGTCAGCCAGCATGATCCTCCGTGTTGTGACAGCCACAGCGCTTGTGTTGGTATATTTTGCCGTTCCCGTACCTGAAATATTATCAGCAAACGTCTGTACATCCACACATCAGCAGCAAAGTGATGCACACACACATCTTTCTGGACCCATTTTGATAAAATGTTGCGTTTGATCATAAGACTCTCCCTGTGGGAGTTTTCTCATCTGAAATAGAGTGGGTGCTTCTGTTTCTGTGTGCCTGTTGTGACCTGATGTTCTTTCCCGTGAGGTGATTTATTGGCTCCATGTTACCAGAGTCCAGGCAGTATCCATGGGGCTGTAAGCAATGTTATCAACAGCATATGGCATGTTTAAAGGAGAGGTTTAACATTTTGGGATATATGCTTATTTGCTTTTCTTTCCACAAAAGCAGGAAAGCGTATTTCCCAAAACTATTCCTTTAAAACACGGCCATAGCAAACCAGTTTGTAGCAGGATACAAGTATATATTATACATTCATAATTTTATTTCAAAGTGATTCACATCAAGGGTTTTTCTCCCACTCTGTCAGTGATGAAATTAAAAAAAATGTAAGAATGGAGGGCACCACAGGAGGAACAGAAGGTTAGGGTTCGCCCGAGCAGAGAGGGAGAAACCGGCCAGTCATTTTAGGAGACATCCGGTCTCTGATCCGGGAACAAAGCCATCCAACAGTGGAACAAAGCCGGAGTCTGGAGCTGAGATATCACAGACTGGTTGGCCCCTCTGTCTGGAAGTGTACGTGCCGCAGAGCAGGACTCCAGTTGAGAAGGGACACTGGGGGTGGGGTGGTCTTTTATGGGCGGTCTGTCAGCTGTCGGTTTGTCTGAGACCTGCATTCCACTCATAGCATTTTACTCACACACATTTATTGTTCCTGTATGCTTCTGATCACCTCAAACACACTGCTGCAGGTCTCTTCTATCATCTTTTACCTCGTCTCCCTCTGGTTCTTCCTATTTGCTGTTTCCTTTTTCCTATTCTCTTCTGACCACCATCATTACGCTCCGCCCCCTTCCCCCCTTCCTTCTCCACTCATGCTGTCCTTCACTCTTCTCCTCCTCCCCTCCATCCTTCAAATGTTGGTGGGCAGCAGAACAATATCCAGGGGGTCATGGTGACCGGCAGCCCCCTCCCTGTGGTCTCTTCCTGCTATTGTTCCTGGTCCTACTGCTGGCTTGGCTCCTACACTCTATTAACCGCACACATACTAACTTAATCACCGCTGTAGTCTGCTCTGCTCTCGCCTCAATCACTGGAGCCTTGAGAACGTGTATGAAAGCAGGATACCTTGGAAGATTAGTTATTTACTCCACACAGTGACTTGATCTGTTGAATTTATCACATCTGAAAGACCGTAAATATGTACACACACACAAGATTAACCAAATGTATTCTAAAATGATAAAGAAGTGCATTGTAAAACAGTTGACGATGCGGAATAACGAGGTTGAAAATGAGGATAAATTGCTGTCATGCACCTTCTCCCCCCCCCCCCCCCCCCCCGTCCTGAACTGATTTATATACTTGGCGTATAACTGCTGCGCTAAATTCCCAGAAACAAGGTAACCTCCAGCCTCTGCCACAATGAAATTCATTTTCTATCCCTAGTATGTGTTTATGATGGGCTGAGTGCTGTCCACAGTGTCAAATTATGGTGATAATATAGAGTTTCAATGTACAGAGCAGCCAAAATGTCCTCACAAGAATAGGGGTCATTAGTCCGTCCATCAAACCCTGTACCCACACAAAGGATCAGGTTGTGCAGAGAAGATGAGGCGCTGTCAATGTAATGTAACACAGAGAGCACATATGATTGAAGTCAGTGTTTTCGGGAGGGCTATAACAGCTGTAAGCATGTGAAACCTGCCGCTGCAGCAGTGGTTGCCACATGATTATATTTCTGTAGGGTACTACAGGTTATTTTCCTCTCTTTCTCTGACGCTTTGATCCCACAATGGCTCTTCCCCCCCTCTTCTT